TCGTATCATGAGGGCTTGTAGGCCTATCATATTGACTTTTCTATTGAAATTTAAAAAAAATATTTACATCGTATTGAAAAGACAAACGCATAGGCCTACATACCGTTATCATTAGATGTTGATTGGCGGTAACTTTGAGCATTTTAATACACCAAGCAGGGACTAGGCTGGTTTTGGTATGGTCGGTGGGTGGGGAGGGGGATTCAAAACGGCTTAGGGGTGCGAAGTGAGAATGCGGAACTAAATCCCTATTCCAATGAAAACTTAGGCCTAATGGTCATTATTTTATGAACCCACTCATTGGAACTAATTTGGCGTCATTGGCGGGGGTTCTCCCCCTCCCCCGAGCTATGCACATCCCAATATACAAAAAAAATGGTTCTTCGAGGTCTGAGGAGACATACGGTACTGTTGTGCGTCATTTCAAAAGTAATAATAATAATAATAGTTGGATTTGTAGAGCGCATCATGCGAAAAAGCCTCTGTGCGCTTGGTGATTGAGCTCTTTGATTTGGACATTTTGAGAAAAAAGAAAGTAAATGTTGATAAACGATGCAACATATGCCTGCAGGAAAAGTATCACATCATATGTAATCTGGAAGCTAGTACACATAACCAGAGAAACGAATTAGTTAGTGCTATACAGCAGTAGTATATAATATATATATATATATATATTTATATATATATAAATTATATACTACTATACATACTGTTACTAGAATGCATTAGATAAATATTTCAGTATGTTTTTAGAAAAGCAAGATTCAAAGTTAAAGGATGGATTGCCTGTCATGAAAAAAATACTAAAAATTCGTATATTTTTTAGGTGATTTATTCAGTGATCAGTTAGGCCTTTTAACTATAATATGATTAAAAATTCGAATGTGAAAATGTCCCGTTTTAGTAGATGTATCAGTAAAAAGATTATCAGCCAATTCAATGAATTTTGTAGTAAAATATCTGGAATCGGTGAAAACAATTTTTTCGATCTGTTTCTTTGTGGAAGCTAATAATTTATTTGATTTTTGAAATGAGCGATTCACTATTGGCTGGTTTGATTTCCAGGCCTCTCAGCTAGCCGCGTTGTTTGGTCACGCATCAGTAGTTTCTCCAGACTCTGTTAATACCAAAGAGTATAAGGCCTAGTTTCGGAGTTCGGACTAGGTGGATAAACCCAGCTCAACTGCTTACTGAGTTCATAGCGGGCGTACTTCTACTGCACTGCACTGGGTAATAAACATAGAGATATAATAACCCCCCCCCCCCTTCGGGAAAATCCTGGCGCCACCCCGGTGATGAAAAGAGGTTGTACATTTCACAATGGTCATGCAACACTTCAATATTTGTGTTTTGTATTTGTTATTGCGTATACAGTACAGTGTTTCTATGTAGGCTTATCATGTATATGCAATTAAAAACAAGAAAGAAATGTTGGCATTAAGACCTGTGGCTTTTTTTTTTAAACAAATGTACCCAGTCTCCAAAGGGATTCAGAGGATTTTGGCATTTCTATATTGTTTAATTAAATTGTTTTGTAAACATTATTATACTGTACTGCAATTAACAATCATCACCACCACACTGTTATAGGCTACAGGCATCATTAAAAATCAACATGAAATTCAAGTGTCAATCAACTTTTTTAAAAATAATTATCTGTCTATCATTCAAAGTTTACAAAAATGTAAATAAACAAATACTGTATAAGAATTGTTCTAGTAATTTGAGATACTGCAGTAACGTCAGCCTATACCTAACAATATGCACAATTAAATATCAATAATATTTTAATAACAATAATTTAACAATAAAATGCAATAATAATGAATGTATGAATTTATATAATATTTAATAAAAATATAACAATAATAATAATAATCGATTATGTTGCATCTGTTGCTTGCATCTACCTATTTAAGGCCATATAAGACATAGGTTTTTGAAGTATTTTCTGTAAGCAATGTTTGACGTACAATGTAAAATATACTCACTATAAATATTTCATCTGTGTCCTGAATCTCTTCGTGCTTCCTCCCTCCGTTTAGTCATGGTGGATCAGGGGTAGTAAACCCGGCGATCATTTTTTTTTTAAATTTTATTTCGTGGTGTCAATCCCCACACGAGCCAGTTTTTTGTTTTTGTTTTTTGTTTTTTTTTTAGGTCGTGGGCTCAATCCCCACACGAGCCAGTTTTTTTTTCTTCTTTTTTAAATCTTGATTATTGATTAGTATATTAAGGACGTACTGTGTATTTGGCAGCGCAGCATTTTTAGTGGTTGTTATCTGGCTAGATAAACTGGAGGTCGTGGGTTCGATTCCCACACGAACCATTTTTTTTTACTGGCCAGTAATTGGGGACGTACTGAATATTTAAAAAGTCCACTGATTAACCTCAGATAACATAGTATAATACATGACCATGCGTAATTGACCCACAGCTGTATATTGCATCTTTACATTTCTTTAGTTAGACCTATTTTTTTTTTATTATTCCAGTGTTATTTATACTGTAATTCTATTTCGTTCTTACAAGCCCATCGGATTAAGAGAGTCTAGTCTAAATTTTTATATTTTTTAAATCACAATTTTAAAAATGACGATATTGTTTCATACTCTCTTCCCTCACTTAGAGAAATAGATTTGATATGGTTTTTCTTTTTAAATGTGTTAATTATATTTTTGATACTACTTTATGTTCTTTATTCCCACTTAAGATTAATAGACCCGGCTCCGGCCGTCGTAATGACCTATTTTTGGTTCCCTTTAACAGAGTCAATTGCACTAAAAATGGTTTTATTCATCGTCTTGCCAACTTTTTAAATAACCTTTCTCACAATTTTACGTTAATCGATATTTTTCACCAGAGCCGTAGTTCATTCAAAACCAGCTTATCGCAATGTTTAATCCATAATACCAAGTGACTGATTTTCTGGGTGGGTTAATTACTTTATCTCTTTGTTTGTCTTTTTCTTGGTTTTTGATTTTTTGTCTTGTTTGTGTGCTTTTTTTCCCTTCACCTTTGTTCTGTGTTCTGTATGTATTTTTATGTGTTTTTTCTGTTCTGTATTGTCTGGCTATGTTTTTGATTGCTCTGTTCTGTCTGCGTGTTTCTGTTGGACCTGTGTTCTGTGTTTTGTCTCTATTTGTACGTTTACTTATTTCTATTTGTATTTTTATCTGTTTTATCTGCAATTTTTAGCTTAAGATGTTCCTCTTCACAATAGGGCATTCAATCGCATAACATGATTGGTCAATTTATAAATATGACGTCATTTTTTCTAATTTGCATAATTAATTTCCCAACATTTTTGTGGATTTTAAAAAAGTGCGTAAGTTATGGAGATGTGATCAATCAAAAATCGATTATAAATTTAATTCTACATTTCCTGTACTACGGAAAATAAACCCTCTTACTGCAACAAATATTCATTATCATTACTGAGTCGCCGATATATTGATAATTCTCTTTATTATTAAGTTTCGTAACAATGCCAGAAGTGGTTTGGGTTACTTTGATATTCCTAATTCTTTTAAAGTCAGGCTCAGGAGGAAAACAAAAATTTATATGTTGTAGAACTGATTTTACTAAGACAGAAAAAAGTAGTTCAAAAACTAAGTAACGGTGAATGAGATACAGATTTTTGAATATTTAAAAACTGGGGGAAAAGTGTGAAAATGTGCTGTTACGCCCCTTTCCCCCCAGTTTTTAAATATTCAATAATCTGTATCTCGTTCACCATTCCCTAGTTTTTCGTCAAACAACTTTTTTCTGTCTTAGAAAAATCAGTTCTACAACATATAATTTTTTTTCCTCCGGAGTCTGCCAATTATTGTAACTTAGGGGTGTTTTTGTCAGGAACTAGATGGCTGGAAATCACTCTCAGACTAATGCCAGGCTCCTTAGGAGGAAATTTCTTTGTTTTTATATATGTTGTAGAACTAATTTTTTTAAGACACAAAAAAGCATATTCGACGAAAAAATCGAAAGCGGTTAGTGAGATGTCCGTACGACGCAAATTTTCGGTCCGTCTGGACCCTCTTCAGGCGTAGTCCGATCGTCGTCTGAACCAATCGTCGGTTCGTCTCCGTTTCCGCATAACACGTTACGTAACGCTATACGGAGTAGTGGTTATTCATGAGTATGGTAAATAACTCATGACATCATACCACTGTTCATTTATATTATAGGCTATGATAGAACTCGATAAACGTACGTAACGTAACATGTTATGCGGAAAATCTCTTTCCTATTTTTTCTTCTTCCTTTATTCTTTCACAATTTTATGTTTTTTTCATATTTTCCATAATGTTATACACTCACATGATATAGTCACTCATTTAGGCCAGGCTAGACCTCGGCTATGCCTATTATATTATTATATTATTTAAAATATACAATTTTAATAGAAAAGATTAATTTTACATGGACATAGTAATTCATATTTAAACAATACATTAAATTTAAATATAAATATAATGACGTTAACAAATAAATAACAATAATTTAAACGTGTACATAGTATCACTACTACAATAATAAGATTAATATTTTTCAAGCTTATAATCAATTTTATATAGCCGGAGTTAGTTTCGACCTAGGCAAACCTTTGCTAAAAAGGTACACTTTCTCCATCAAAAGGCTTTTTCTATGAATGGAATGGCCTGCTCGAAGCACGAACTCCTGTAGACCAAACCCAGTACCGTTACGATTTTTAATCGTACGGGAAATCCACTCACGAAGAATGAGCTGTTCCGCGTATTTACATTAAAATTGATGGAACATTCGCCCTCCTGCGGGTGGGGTAAAATTTGACCATTTTACTAAGTGGAGAAACTACAGGAAACAAACGAACCAGAGCGGCGCCTTTATTGCTGTTTATTATTATTATTTATATATAGCGCCGCCGCGCGGATGGGGTAAAATTGTTCTCCGTGTACCCACAATGCCTTTTGAACGGATGTTCCACAATATTGTGAAGCTGCTCTATCTTCTTTGCTCCTCCTCCGCACAGCTTTGGAAAATTATTTCCGCTTCAATTTCCGCATAAACTTTTACGGGAAAGATATCTGCATGCCTGATTGTGTATTGATAGGCCTGGATGCATGGATGGTGAATCTCATGTCAAAACTCAGGTAGGTTTATTATTTATTATTAATAGTTGTTTATGTTATTAAGAATGCATGTACCTGTAATTACTTTGTATTATTCTCACGTACTTTTGTTGATTTGTGTAGGCCCTAGCTTAGCCCAGTTAGGCCAAGCCCAGATAGGGTCTACTTTAGCCGCCTCCTAGGTTAGGCCTTTTGGCTGACCTACCTAGGCCTGTATTTGAATATTACTAGGCTATTACCAGTACCAGTACTACTAGGCCTACAGTAAAGGGCCCTGTGCCTACCTAGGCTAGGTCTAGTCTAGTACTAGTAGGCTAGGTAGGCATTTAAGGAAGCTAGGCCTATTATTATTAAAATATACCGACCAAAGTTCTGCTACTACGGGTCCTACTAAATACCACACGGGACCACTCGCGACCACACGGAACCACTCGCGACCACACGGGTGCAAAAATGATAAAAATATTACCACACGAGAGTAGAAAACTACTTAATAATCAATAGAAACCGACTTTTAGTACGGTAATTATCCGAATTCCGTTAAAAATCGATGTATCTTGATTTTGATTTGTTGGTTTTTCCCGTCGTGTCTCGGTAATGTAATGCGTTAATTGTGGATCTGTAACGCATTGACGTGTCAGCTGAAACGCATTCAACCATGACCTTCATGTCTGTGTTTCATATCACCAATCAAGATAGGCCGTTAAATACTGCCACGTGAACGGTAATAAACCTATTCTACATAAAATGAAAATGAGAGTTTGAATTGTTATATATTGTTAGATCTGTCTCTTATACACATCTAGATGTGTATAAGAGACAGGTAATGCACTGCGCATGGTTTGTTTGTTTGTTTATCTGTTTTCCCACATGAAAGTACTGCCTGTACATTGCTGTCTCTTATCCACATCTAGATGTGTTTAAGAGACAGCAATAGGACGCTTACGTAATCCGAATTGCCATTCTCGACGGCTCCCCGTCCTCTTGCGTATAAAGTGCCTATTAATTGTATTATCCAGTGTTCTCCCAACTGAACAATACTGGTGTAAATTCGTCTATCCAGCTAAGCGCACGCACCGCGAGGCATTGCCACTTTCAAGTGGAGTTCAATGGCTGCAAAAAACAATAATACAGAAT